ATTTAATAGTTTATAATAGCTATCAATATGTAGGACTATTAATGTGTAGAACTGGTGAATTGGCTAAAGAGAACTGGCCTCTTGAACAGTCATGTGTGGTCTGAAGAATAGTGAAGGAACTCTCCATGACTCCTCTAAATTAATCACCCAATTGCTGTAGTTAAGCAGCACCTTAAAATAAGCATAGTACAGAGATGATGTGTTATGCTTGTAAAAAAAAAAAATGAAAAATCCTAAATGATACAATGGATACCAAGTCTGAAAGACTGTTTGAAAATACAGCACCATGTATTCTGTGTTCCGTAACTTTAATCTAAGGGGACTTGTAGCAAGGGGTTTCTCTGTGCTGTGCTCCTGATAAACAAATGAACAGTCTTGCACATTGATTTGCATGAAAGTTGAATAAATCTGGTAAACATCTGGTATATCTTAGGAGACACAGCATGAGACATGAAAGCTGACAAGAGAAATTATCCTACGGGGAATCTCAGCTTTCAGATCTACATAAGAAAAAACAATATTGAACTTGTATTTCTGCAAACCATCTTGACAAAGACAGGATGGAAAGAACAAGCTGGTGAAGTGTTTTTGCAGCACTTGTCAATTTTGGCAAAGTGTCCAAATATGAAATGCACATTTGCTGAACTGAAAAGATATTACCTTTAACAATGCAGATAACTCACTCTTACCCATGTTGTACGGGATCCTATAGCTGCTTGCCAAAATGCTACAACAGTCAGTTGAAAATCTTCCTTATCCCTATGGAAACAGCTGAAGCAAAAAGCTGTTCTTAGGACAAGTGGAAAATATGTTATGAGAAAACCAGACATTCCAAAGGGAGGCAAAGGAAACGGTTCTCTGCAATTTACCAGCAGTGAAATAGGCCAAGGTTATCATTCAAAATATGCAGAGAAGGAGCCAAGTAGCACAAAGGGAATGATAATGAAGAGAAAAATATGAACCAATTGGCTGCAGTTTCTGTTAATTCTGTGCAGTACAAAGGTAAGCAGTAAGGAAATTGTGGTTAACTTTACCACATATTTCTCCCCAACCTCCACAGTTTTCCTGCGGCAGTCAAAGTATTCAACGCTAAAGTTGCTGGGCAGATGCTATATGCTGCCGTGGTCTGGATCAGTGCAGTAACAGACAATATTGACAGACCTCTGTTAAGATTCCTACACAATATTCTAGGAGCACCTCAGTGTGTGTCTGGAATAGCCCTGAGAGCTGAAGTTGGGGAGATGTCTTATGAAGCAAAGGCCTGGGGAAGAGCATTCAATTTGAAAATTAGGACTCTAAAATCAAACACAGATGTAAACCTCCTTGGACTAGTCAAGCTGGACCACCACAGATTACTGGACCATAAGCTATTATGGCTGGGTATCACTCATGATGCAATACATGTCACGAGTAGACAAGAACTGTCACAGCTCATTAGAAGATGTTTGAGAGACCTTGACTATGACAGCACGTCGATTAGCGCCCACAGACTGTGCTCAACCTTTTCAGTAGGCATTCATCCACCATATCACTGTCACCATCTTCTTTTGAGGTATTCAGAAGCTTCAGCTGAGCATCATGGGAGACAGAATGTTGGAACATGTGGATTTTGGTTTGATCCAGCAGGGAATTAAAAACACACACACAAAAGAATGCTCGTTACACTTGCAGGGGTGGAAACTAGTCAGAGGGTCAAAAATACTGATTTTACCGACCAAAATTCCAAAAAAGTCGACCAAATACTGAGAAAAAACTGACAAATTACTTAACAATTTAATATCAGTCTACTGATAAGCTAGCGTTTTAAATGTAAAACATGGACTTCATTAAAAATTATTATTATCTGGCCTCCACCATCCCCATAGTTAGATGTGACCCATATAAAAAGATTGAACACCTTTTTATTGATTTTTTTAAATAGAGGACAATGTTTTCATTATTGTACAAAATGTAAGGCAAAAAAAGATTCCCTTTTAAAAATAATCACATCCTGCAGATAATAAAACAGCAAAACAGCAAAACCATATTAAAAACCAAACATAAAGTAATAATTATGACAACAAAACACAATTACTGTAAGATAAGACTTGTCTTTGCTTGTACTTTATCTTTGGTTTTTTGATGAAAAAAGAACCGGCCAGCAGCCTGCCATCCCTGGTGGAAGCCGTGTCGGGCTGAGCATTGGAACACCCTAGACTGATTGTCCTGCATTATTTCAATGTCCATGCGGACAATGTGACCTCCACTCAGGCAATGGACCTAGTGTCATCCGTGGTGGCGCTGGGACTCTCCCAATATGTAATGACTCCGAGCTTGTGGAGGATTGGCACAGCTGACTCTTGGCAGCCATCAATGAGATCACTCCCCGACATCCTCTGTGCCCTCACTCTAGGCTGGCTCCTTGGTTTACCCAGGAGTTGCGGCCGATGAAGCAAAGGCAGAGACAGTAGTGATGCGCCTGCGATGAAGTCAAAATAACATCTTATAGGACATATATGAGCTCCTATGAGATGGCAGTCAGAGTATTATGCGAGCTCATGCCCAGCCCAATTATTTAGAATAATTTGATTCATGACTGTTCTGCCACAAGGCAGACCAAATGTTAGGGAATTGGACACTGGCTGTGAGGCCTTTGAGAGCTTCTTTGCAGATAAAATCCTGTCGCTCCGCCGTGATCTCCCCACCACAGTTGAGATAGTAAGTGAACTCGAGGCTCCATGCACGCCTTCTAGTCAGGTTATGGATTATTTCAGTCCGCTCAGCCTGGAAGAAGTTGACAAACTGCTCTTAACTGTATGCCCTACCACATGCTGCCTTGACCCGTGCCCATCATGGCTAATTAAAGCTGGCCGTGATGGGTTTCGAGATGCCCTAAGGGAGATTATCAACAAGTCCCTCTCAGAAGGACAGGTCCCTAGGGCACTCAAGGAAGCTGTGGTTCGTTCTCTCCTGAAAAAAAATCTCTGGATCTGGCCAAATTAGCTAATCAGTGGCCAGTCTCCAATCTGCCCTATTTGGGCAAAATAATTGAGAGGGCCGTGGCAATTCAGCTACAGAGCTTTTTGGATGACACTTCCATTCTAGATCTTTTCTACCACCTCCGGCTGATTAGGCAGTTGATTCTCTTCCTCGAATGCAACGACTTGGTGACAGTGATCCATGCGATGGTCACCTTGACATTGGACTACTGTAAAGCTCTCTACATGGGGCTGCCCTTGATCCAAATCCAAAAGCTACACCTAGTGCAAAATGCTGCAGCCAGGCTTCTGATGGGCCTCCCTATGCTGGACAATATCCAACCTGTGCTGAAAGCACTGTACTGGCTGCCAATAGCTTACCAAATTTGCTTCAAGGTGCTGGTACTTACTTTTAAAGCCCTTTACGGTCAGGGGCCACATACCTGAGATAATGCCTTTCCCCACATGCTCCCCAGAGAGCACTGCACTCAGGGTCACAAAATCGATTGGCCTCCCATATCCTAAAGATGCCAGGCTGGCCACAACCAGGGGCAGGGCCTTCTCAGTGGTAGCTCCGTACTGGTGGAATGAGCTCCCAGAAGAGATCAGGGCCCTCAGGACCTTTTACATTTAATTATGTTTCTATACTTTGTGGAAGATTTCACCAAATCATTTTTACTCTTAGGAACAAAGTTCTTAAAGTACTTCATACCTAAACTGAAAACAATCTATCTTCTCACTGGGAAGTCATCATGTTTCCCCAAAAATGCAGTAATGAAAACAGAAAAACACAAACTGCATTCACAAAAATCAAAGAAATACTGACTTTACTGACCAATTTTTTAAAAAACTGACAAATTACTGACCAAGATGAAAAAACTGACTTTTACTGATTTTACTGACCATTTTCCACCCCTGCACTTGGGAATTGCTATGGATATTTTTGAACATCCTTAGCAAATTGTTAATATTTCCTTCCTTCAAAGCAAGATTCCATAATTTGAGATTTGCCGCTAGCTTGACTTCCTCCATTCCTCAAGTGGGTGGGGGGACTTTGCTCTCTGGATCCCGCTGATATTCACACATCCATATAATTGGCACACTGCACACACTTCCTACTGCTTTTTAAATCCTATGCCTTCTTCTTTCTAGGAGAACTGAATCTTACTGATGGGAATGGACATCCAAAGCTTTTGAGTAATCAAGAACAATAATATACATATTTATATAGTAATAAATTAGCAAAATACTACATATATGGAGGGATATCTCACAGCTGAACTGTTAACAGTGGAGGTTCTGGCATAGTACTAGAACAAAAATCTTTATGCTAGACATCTGTGTAAGCTGATCTTCAGTGTACAAAATCATAATGAATACGACTGATGATGTTTCTGCATGTGTACCAATAGCTCTCTTAGGGTGAGGCACTAATTTAAAATTTTTGGAAGGGACATCTCATCCAATCCTCAATTTAAAAGACAGACCCACCTACCTGCTCTTTGTATGATGAAGTAGTTTCCTGGGGAGGCACCCCTTCAGCCTCATGCACATGTGTCCATTGATAATAATGATGATGATGATGATGATGAAGAAGAAGAGATTGGATTTATACCCCGCCCTTCACTTGGAGTCTCAGAGCGGCTTTCAGACTCCTTTCCATTCCCCTCCCCCAACCGACACCCTGTGAGGTAGGTGGGGCTGAGAGGTCTCTAGATAACTGCTCTTTCAAGGACAGCTCTGACAGGACTATACTTGCCCAAGGTCATCCAGTGGCTGCAAGTGGAGGAGTGGGGAATCAAACCTGCTTCTCCCACATTAGAGTCTGCACACTTAACCACTACACCAAACTGCACCATCAATGAATGAAGCAGTGTCATTTCCTCTCCCTTCAAAACTGCCCTGTCAGTAGCTGTGTGACTGACCACTTGTCTTGCTGACACTGCTTTGCATTGAATTGGTACCCTCTTAATTGGCACACTAACACTCAATTATCTGTACAAGTAATTAACCAAGATTGTTTTTTTAAAAATGTGGTCTGTTTATTGTAAATGATAAGCATTCATAACAGTGCAAACAACTCTTTGGCAGATTTACTTATTACAATACAAAATAACCAAGGTTTCACTTTTGGTAGGAGTTTTTTTGTTTTTAAGTAAATAAATATGGAACAATTGTGACTGAACAAATATTGAGGAAATGGTCATTTAGCTATTGGCCATTGTCTAATTAAATGAGCTTTGAATCAGCAGAAAATGGCAAACACATTGTACAATGCTTGGTTTCCTTTTGTATTTTGGAATAAGATCCATTTCCTAAGTCCGATTTACAATCAGATATTTAAATAGAAGTTAATGTTGAAGTGTATATCATTTTACATACTACCTGAATGAATTAGACACCTGTTTTATTTCAAAAGAGGGAAACCAGAGGTACGTTTCCACTGCTAATGTATACATGGCAAAGATATCATAAAATGACTGAAATACCTGAGCAGATTTCTTTACAATACAGCATTGCAATTAAAGGGTGATCAATCACTTAAAAATCAGTTGGCTTTCTACAGCTAGCACTGTGGTTCAATTAAGATATCTGCCCTTATTTTGAAAGTATTCTAAATTTGTAGGCACATGAGGTTATGACCTCAAAAATTAAGGCATGATTTGGAGTCTCATCAAAATAGAAATATATTGGTGAACAGACAGAGAGAGAAAAAGTCCTACAATAATGTAGGATCCATGTATAATACTTAACATATTTGTTCTGTCCCAAGGGTGCTTTATAAAATCACCTTAAACAATAGTTGCTTCCATTTCACATGTACTCTTGACACAGTCTGGCTCAACACAGCCACTGACAGATGCTTTTACTGCCCCACCCCATCTGTTCTTTGGCTTCTGTAAGGTATTTGTCAAATGAAAAACTGACCAAGGCCAGCAATTTTATGTGCCAAATACTGTTAGTGGAAATGAATTGCACACTTGGTTTGTCATACAAATTAAGTACATCTTTTGAAAAAGTACACAAGTTGGCCTTTGTACAGACGGTACTAATTCTTAAATCCTAAATGACTATACTCATGGGTTAGTAACTTCAGCTGTAGCTTTACCTAACTAAAATGCTTAGGGATATCAGGAAAAACTCCTGAATTATGTGATTAAGGCTTCTTGTATGAATAAGCACCATCAAGGAAACGAAGCATGTCTGTCAAATGAGGTATGAGAGTTTTCCTTCACTGAATTTAGTAATACATCTTGGTTATAAGAAGGCAATATTGGAGATACAAAAGTAAACAAACAAGTTAACATAGACATACATTCAACAGTGCTTAAAAAATCTTAACAGGGCACACAGATTCACAACAGAGAAACTGTTAACATGATCTGGACACAAAGACGAAGGGGAAAAAACACATACTAAGTAAAAAAAAAATTAAAATCACAAAAACAAAACTTTTTAAAAACGTAAAGGAACAACTAATCCCTGTGTGGGAAGGTTTCAGTCCGACAGATATTTCACAAATCATGCCACAGTATAGCCAGGAACATGTCTATAGCAACAAGACTTTATAATTAATCAGTAGATGCCATTTGTTGCTATCCCAAGGCCTTATTTCAGCAAAATTCCAACTTCTGCCCCAATTCATTTCCAAGGGCCCTGCATTTAAGCAGCATCTTTTTTACCAGGACATCAGAAAGTTGTTTTAACTTTCACATTTTCAAGATAACACTACAGACTACCATATTCATTGGCTTACCGTACACTATATCATGGACAAAATGAATGCAGTACCACACCAAAAGAAGCAAGAATAGCATACTTTAACAACGGCATGGATGCAACAGAAGAAACTTCTTCTATTCACTGATACTGATGTCAGGGAAAACTGTTGATTCTACTGAAAGGCAGATAGTCCTGCCCAGAAAAAAAAACAGGTGGCTTCTCTAGGCACAGTGAATCACAGTGATTTTGATTCCTGAAAAATGATCCATGCGGTCAGGCCCTAACAGTAAAGAGAGTGGACTGAATGGTTACTGTTATGGAAAATAAATCCACTCGGGTTACACTGAGCGCCAAAAAAGGCATGTTTTCAAAAGTCATTATGAGAAATTTTATTCTTTATCATGAATCAAGGAAAATATTTTAAGTAATACCTCAACAGACTATATTTCATTGTTTTAATAACCATTTAAGGTATTTATTTTCAGAGGGTAGCCGTGCTGGTCTGCAGTAGAACAGCTAGATTCAAGCCCAGTAGCCCCTTAGAGACCAATAAAGAGTTTTGAAATGTGGGTTTTTGAAAATCAAATTTCTGACCAAGAGGGCATTGGCTCTCAAAAGCTCATACTCTGAAACTCTTGTTTGGTGCCCAAGGAGCTACTGGACTCAAGTCTAACTGTTTAATGTATTTATTTGTTCTTACCCATCTGTGTCTGGCAGAAATGTTAAATGAAACCTTTTGCTTGTTTTCACCCACTCTAGCCTGTGACTGTGTAAGTTACCATAATTAATTGTGGAAAGCAAAGACATCTTCTGTGAACAACAAGCACGAAGTCATGGGCCTGCATTTTAGCATCAGGTGGGAAAATATCTACACACTTCCAATTTAGGCTTTGATGTTTTCAGTTGCTCAAGTGTTTCAACGATGGGTTAATCAGTCTCTTATAGGAACAAGCCATACTGTAGCATAATTCTGAGCATATTTGATCTCCCAATGATTGTAGAATAATGGATGCCTAGCATGGAAAGGGCTGAAGGAAGTAGGAACTCTATGTATGTAAGACAGGGCGTCGTTTATGTCGTGTCTCACCAGGGATCAGTTCACACCAACATTTTCTACAGCAAGCCTCAAGCATGGAACACAAGATGAAACAATAAGTGAAACTGCCTCTAAGTGGGTATAACTTTACCACTAAATAATTACAGAGACTCCCATACAACATGGACTAGGCAAGGAATGGTGTTTTCAGATAGGGAGAAGTTCTGGTATATATTTTTCTAGAAATTAAACACTGATAAGAGGCAGTTTGCTGGGGTAGTTATTCTATTTTACTAGGGACACATTGTGTGCTGTGGAATGGCCCAATAGAAGCAAAGCTCTTTCACAGAACATGGTACAAAAATTGCAGTTGAGACAGGCAAGGTCCAGAAAAGTATATGACTTCAACAGTTAAAAATGTGCAGTAGTAAGGGCAGTAATTTGCACAGCCAAGAAAGGATCTCCCCCATCTCCCACTCCAATAGCAAACTGGCTAAAACAGACACTTTTGTTACAGCTGTTTTGCTGTTATGGTCGAGGAGGGGTTTTCTCTCATGAATTTGTAGACTTATTTTACATTGTGCCATGTTTTGTTACAGGACCAAGTGGGGAATTAAGATATATTTTAAGTGTAACATTCCTGACAATCTCCTAAGCATTCTATTAATACATGAAGCAGAGGAACTGTAGGGCAAATGGACTTCAATACTGTTAAGGAGAAGGAAAAACTGGTTGTGAATGCTTGCTCTCCAGCCTCACCAACTGTCAGAAATGGTACTGCTACAGAAAGCCAGCTTGCTGAGTTGTCAAGTAAAATGTTACTCTCAGGAGAATCCTAGACCACCTCCGTCCCAATTTGGGAGGGATGAGTAGCCTGCCATGTACCCTGCACAGGGCCAGTGAATATGTGTTGTATGTTTTAACCAAAGTTGTGGCCCTCATTTTATCCAATTCAATGGAACCTACCTTTCTTCCACCAGTGTATGAAAAATACAAAAAAAGTCTCAGTGCCTCATATCACTTGACAAAGGCTTCTTTAAAAAGTAGCACCAGTTTTTAGTTTGTTGAACCTGAGAAGTTTTAACACAAAATTATCCTGATGTGTATTGTGTGTTCCCTTTCAATACTTTGTCATTGTGGCTTTTCAGTGGGCAAGCAAATAAAATTACATGTTTTCTTACACTGTTACACCATCACTTGAATGCTGTCCTGTAATGTCTTGATTTGTTGCTGTGGTTTTAAGCATATTGTTACCTGTATTTGCCATCAGCAGATATCCAAATGACTCGATAATGTGACAACTGCTAAGCAGACTTAGGGTTTCTTGCTAAGTGTTTGTTTTAAGCAGGCAGGACAGCAAACTCCTTTGAGCTTCACTGGCACAGCGCAATCATTTGGTGGACACGATTCTACATAACAGGTGATTTGACCAACCTGTGTTTGGAGAACAAGGGTAATAGCTTAGCACATAAATATGATCTAACAAATAAGAACGTTTAACATTTGCATTACTCAGTAGCTGCTCAGTAGTTAATAAGGCTTCAGACCTGCCACCACAGTCCAAATAGAAGGAATTTAACTGAAATAGTACAGACAACTGTGTAGGCACCCCTTTACGGGTGACATCAATGCATGTAGAGAGAGAATGGGCATGAGTTCACTGGCTTTGAATAATCACCAACCCTCTAAGCACAGAGTCTATGTATGTAGGACGTGAACGTACATAGCCTCCTTTCCCTTGACTAGGGACTTCACTTTAATAATGTTCCCAATTGCAGGGAGGGAGCCTATGGGTGGGATCCAACCAGCATTTTTGAAGAAAGGAAGGATCCATTTTGTCCATGAAAAAGGTCATGGGACCTGTCTAAACCAAAACTATATGAAATGGGAAAATTCTTAGGAAGGGTAATTAGGTAAGACTCAGAGAAAAAGCTGACTGTGTCCAACTTTATGCATGTAGACAGGTGAATGCACATAGCCAGTGGGGTATGGCCAGCACACTCATGGCTACACCCCCTCTGTATATGCTGATTTCAATGTGTGTAACACTGTGTGTACAGGGTTCTTGTGAGCTATGGTCACTCCTCTATACATGGGTGAAGGGGGAGAGAACGACCATTGAACACTTACCATGAAGGGTCCTTCTCCTCTGAGGAAAGGAGGACATCTTGCTGATTCCCACCATCCAATCAGGGAGCCAGGAACAATTTTTCAGCTTCCTGTCTCTTGCCTGTGGGAGTCACCCTCTTCAGTTCTGGTAACTCCAAAAGCACTAAGACTGTAAAGTCAATTCATGGAAAGAGAACAAACGAAAAAGAACAGAGCGACAACCTAGATAAGGAAAAAACAGGCAAACAGTACTCGTGAGACAAGAAGTGTACCTGCTGAATAACTAGTTTGACAATGACTTTGGGAGGGACAAGATGTCCTCCTTTCCTTAGAGGAGAAGGACTCTTTACCGTAAGTGTCCAATGGTTGTTCTCCCTCTGAGGCAGAGGACATCTTGCTGGGACCTCCCAGGGCAGTGTCCTCATTTACTGGGTGGGTCATCGTCCTCTGGATCTAGAATATGTTGTAACTCACTTCCAAAAGCTGTGTCAGCTAAGTCATAGAGTACCTTAGAATACCTTAAAAAGGTGGATATTGACAACCATGTGTTTGCCTTGACTATATCTTTGACTGTGGTGTGTTCGGATAGGACTGTGTTGGTTTTGGCACTTCGAACTGAATGTATTTCAAATATTGAGCTTTGTAAGCTTCAATAACGTAGGTCTTAAGGGTACTGCTGATGTCCACATTGACATCCTCCTTCCTTCATTCAGTGGAGAGATGAAGATGAATAAGGAATCAATTTTAAGCGTACGTTTTACTTCCAGGGTCTGCTGCAGTTTCTCCTTTGAAGGGATAGGATTCAGGTAAAATGATGGAAGACAAAAGTTTTCTGAGACCTGTGGAAAGTCTAATTCGCCTTCGGTGTAAAGGCAGTGTCTGTCTTCATGACCCTTTTGTCTCTATGGAGAACTCATAATTCAGGCTGGACTAAAGAAGTGCGTAGAACCTAAAACCTCTGATGCACCTGCTATAAGAAAAATAAGAGTTTCATCCTCAGCCATTTAAGTTGAATTTCTTATATAGAATCAAATAGTGTCTGGCGAAACTGAGAGTGTGGTACACAATTTCTGAGTTAGAAACCTGCATCCTTGTGTTGGCTCATTTAGAGCAGCAACCTTGGGAAGGTTGCAAGCTTGGAGGTATCTAGATAGGCTCAAACCCTGGAACAGAGGTAACAACAGTGTCAGAGTTGTGACTTGTCATTGTAAGGGAAGAATTGTAAAGAAAGAATCCTTGAGTCCACCATCATGTCCCTCTAATAGAACGGATAGAACCCATTTAGTCTTAGTCTTCAGGTAGTCAATACCTTTTCTATAACTCTGCCTGACGGGAGTCCTCCATGAAGTATTGTAAATTAATCTAGCACGGTATCCACTGCATTTTGTCAAAAAGTCTGGACATAAAGGTCACCTCACTCAATCTCCAAGCAGTTAAACACAGCCATCCTGAATGTAGACGTCATACAGGACCTTGTTGAAGCATGTCTCGTGATACTGGGAGCATTAGTGGTGGTAGGTTCGCCCTATCCTGAGGGCTGGAGAACCATGGTCACTGAGGACAATATGATTCTAGTACTGTGGCTGCTGCCTTCTGGTCCTTGATCATCCTGACCAATTTTGGAGGAACTGCGATGGGGGGGATAGGCAAACATAAGGTCACGTGGCTACTGGGATGTTAAAGCCTCAATAGTTTCGGCCAATGGAAGAAGAAACATGGTGGAGCACCAATTCACCTGAAGGTTGTTTGGCAATGTCAGGTTTTCCTCCGCCTATGTTATGATCTTGATAGTTTCCTCGTGGTAGATGGAAATCTAGACCCTCCTTGTATATTGTTGGTTCTGATTAGTACATGTTGATCAAGTATCTGTAGGCTGATGGTAAAGGAAAGCCAGATAAGTTGTCTGAAGCTCCAGGAGGCTTGCCTCATTCCCAGACCACCAGCCCAGTACTAGTAAGCTTTCTAGCATTGTCCCTAACCAGGCAGACTGGAGACCAAGAAAGACCTTCTTCACCTCCGGGATGCAGTATTTCCTTACCTGAAGGGGACTGAGCATTCTTGTCCTTCCAGTGAGACTGATCTTTACTGTAAGGGAGCCTTGATGGAAAGGGTCCTCCTTGGTCATAACTTCTAGTTGGAAATGTCTTGGAAGCTGTTGTAGTGGTCTAGTGTATAAGCAAGTTGTGACCAGCCTGGAGTTCCTCAAACCCACTCCACATTCCTTCCCTACATAAGGGTCAGAAAAAGGTTGCACAACTCTTGCTACTATACACCATTTCTTAACGTTTAGGCCATAGAACCTGTCCCTCCCTCTGACAAGATTGAGCTAGCTTGGGCCATTCAGGTTATGGCATCAGTTGCCAAGCTCTGAGCCATAATCTTCTTCTGGCAGCTGTCTCAGATGCCATAGTTCTTGAAAGAGAGTAAGTGACCTAGGTTTGCATTTGCCATAGTGAACTGTAAGAACCCTAATGGCTCCCTCTGTCATGCAATTGTCCTGGACCGGACAATAGCCGCTCTTGAGACTATTGGGACCAGAACAGGAGCTTTAACGGTCATAGTAGAGCCTTCATAAGCTTCCTTCACGGTGAGACACCCCTCTTGTAAAAACGATGCTGGAAAGTACCATCCTCTGAGAAAAGCTCAGATGACCACAAAGCTGTTACTGGAGCATCCACTAGTGGTACCTGCAAAAATCGAGTATAAAATATGATAAAACATACAATTTCTAGTAAAACATGTAATTGCTTGTTGGCCATAGGTTTTGCCCATTCAGCCTTTAAATTTTTCTGAAAGAACTGGTGGAAGGGGAGAAATCCTCTCTGCTGTGCTATACTTAGAGAAGAATTCTTATTCCCTTGATTGGCTACTGGTCTGAGTATTAGGAGGGCATGACTGTTCTTTAGAAGGGACCTCCTGCAGCTCTAATGCTGCCATGGTCTTAGAGGGGTGTTAGTAGTTTTCAGGAATCTTATGGACTGTTCATAAATTTTTATTTTTATTTTATTATTTATATATTCAATTTATAGCCCGCCCTTCCCTGCATAATAGGGCTCAGGGCAGGTAAGACCAAGTCAACACTAAATTAAAACAGTACATTTCATCCTCCTTTTAACTGTCCCATAGAGAGTGATCTCTCTCTCTTTCGCTTTCTCTCTCTCTCTCGTAAAATTCCTTCCTAGTTGCCTTAGGGGCCAACTAGGACTCCCTGTGGAAGAAGCTGTGTTGCCCAAATCCCTTGCCTGTAGGAAGGGAGGGGGCAAGAGGAGGAGCTGGGGTGGGACGTGTGCCTTCCATCTCTACCTTGCCATAATTGGCAATCTCTTCCCGCATGGTTTGCCTATGCAAGACTAGAACCCGGGAGGAAACATCAAAGGTCTTGAGCCATGTGTCTTACTCATGAGTAGACCTGGAGACCCACTGTTGGCACTATATACAGCTGCTGCTGCAACTTAGTGCACTGAGTAGTTGCTTTGATGGCTCTCATTAGAAGCTATGTTGCTTACATAGCTTTGAAGTGGGAAGACACTCAGCAGATTCCTGGACTCTAAAGAGAGAAGGAAATCGGGAGGTAAGAAGAAGAGCCCACGTTTGCATACGTTACTGGAATGCTGAAAATCTGGCATGTTGTCTGGGTCCAACAGAGATTAGCCCATTGTTGCTTGTTTTCGAGGCCTGCAGATGTAATAGGAATCTCCATGCAGCCTCGCAGATTGATTGCCACTGTCGGCATTTGAAGTAGCCCTGGTCTTCAGCAGCCGGTTGTAACAGGTGTCCTTTTTGGTGCACGTTTTGTCACCCTCAGATTAAGGCAATCACATTGGGGTAGCCTAGGCAAGCCTGCTATAGGTCATGCTGGCTCCTCCTGTGCCCTGTCCAGCACCAGCTGTCGCCATGTCGATGTACCTTAATAGGAGCGGCCGAAGGGATCTCGCTCATTAAATGAAGAGGCGTCTAAAACGGCTGCCATTGTTGAAGACAGCCTCTATATATAACATTGTTGTTCTTCTCCAAAAAGGGTTAGAATATAGGGAAGAACAGTGAAAGAATTATAGGAAGCATATGAAGTAGTTAAGATAGAAGATATATAAGGCTGAACAAGGAATTTAGAGTTTTAGAGATGAGATAAAGGCAAATCCTGATCTAAGTTGCTCTTCCTGTTGAGGCAGGAAAAGAACTGAAGAGGGCGACTCCCACAGGCAAGAGACAGAAAGCTGAAAAATTGTTCCTGCCTCCCTGATTGGACAGTGGGAATCAGCAAGATGTCCTCTGCCTCAGACAGACAACCATTTATTAACAGATAAGGAAACAGAAATTTTTAATATAATCAGTTTTTACTATTGGACTAAAGCAGAAGTTAAAACCTCCTAGTTGTTAATGTCAGGATGACAGGAGTAGCTCTTTGTATATGAATCTGTCTATATGATGATGTTCACATAGAGCTTCTGTATGAATAGGCTTCTTTTTCATTTTGAAGAACACAGAGTGAAGCCAGTGCAGTGTATTGGCTAAAATGCTGGATTAGGATCTCTGAGATCAAGGTTCAGATTAAGCCATGAAACTCACTTGATGACTTTGAGCCTGTCACTCTCTCAGCCTGATCTAACCAACTTAGTTATTTTGGGGGAGGAGAAAAACCATGCACGCTACCTTGACCTCCTTGGAAGAAGGGCAGGATAAACATGGATGGATGGGGAAACAGTACAGGGCTAAACCCTTTGCTGCTATATAAAGAGACATGTTCTGTTTACTCACCCTGCATTCACATGTGGTGCATGGGTCTTTTTTCCAGGCTTCATTACTGGCATAAGATTTACCTTTTTCATCAGTACATTCAGTTGTACTCAGCCGTGATTCAAGTTTCTTTATCTGAAGACAGAGAAACCTTGTTTAACCATCTATTCCAAAAGAAAAGGCTGACTGCGTCCAACTTTGTTTAACCATCTATTCCAATAGCTCTGCACAGGCGCTGCTTTCTCCTGCCACTCGGTTTAAACCAGGTGGCAGGAGAAGCCAAGCCAGCCCCAGGATCAGGCTGGTAATTTTTTTTTTTTTACCAGCATTTTTCAGTTTGGGTTTATTGGACCCAATTTTTGGGGGGGATTTCCGAAAAATCCTGGATCTGTATACCATACTGGTAAAAAAAATTGCACACCCCTAGTTTCTATCATTCAAGAACTTGAAAAAGCACCTAACAGAATGGTTCCTTCAGTTTAGACTAGATTTTCTCAAATTCGAAAACAGTCTCTTGCCTAGTTTCTCCATCTTTGGAGTCATGCAGTTCTATACTACAAAAAGGACGTTCACATCATGGGTTGGATTCTGCAGATCTGTTCCTTTAATGGTGGTTTTGTCCCTCATGGCAAAGAGCCTTCCTGGATGCAAGAGCCTTTGCTGACAAGAGGGAGGGCTCCTTGCACTGGGGAAAGCACCGCTGCCAGTAGAACAGATATATGGGGCCCAATTACATATTTCTAAAAATTATCTGCATATGCAGAGGCTTGGATCAACCAAAAGCTTTATGCAGATCAAAGGGATTTCTGTTGACACTGCAGAATTTCCTCACCTGTGCCCAATCACTGCAGTTTCTCTCTCTATCTAGTACTGCTCATACGACTATTACCTTAAGCAGAAATGAGAACCAAGAAAATATTTATTTATTTATTCGATTCCGCCCTAACCCCTAAGGGTCTCTGGGTGGCTTACAGAGAGTGCTAATCACATTTACAGAATCTAACCTAGGGCCACAGATATACAGGGGTGGTGACTACCCTACCAGGCACCCTTTTTGCGGCGGATCTTCGGTTTAAAAATACCTTACTCAGTATTATTTCTCTTATATTTGATTATTGCACCTATGAGTTTTGTCAGTGAGATGGTGACATGATCCCTTGTATCTGTGCTTGGGCTTGCACATTTAGCAATTCTGTATCTTTAAGTAAAGGGGTGATTAAATTAGCCCTCAACTCGTTGAATATAAGGCACTCCATAATCATATGTTCGATGGTTTTGATTTTATCATATGAGCATCTGCATGTTCTATTAGAATATGATACTCTATCATATTTTTATTTATTTATTTATTTATTTTTATTGGAACGCCTGACGAAACAGCTTCGTTTTAACGGCTCTACAGAACTGATGGAGGTCCCGTAGAACTCTGATCTCAAGAGGGAGTTCTTTCCACAGTGTTGGCGCTGCCAGGGAGAACGCCCTGGTCCTAGTTACCGCTAACCTGGCATCTTGAGGCCTGGGGGGGCCAGACGGTTTTGCGTTCCTGATCGCAGTGCTCTTGGGGGAACATATGGGGAAAAGGTAGGCAGGCCCCAGACCATTTAAGGCTTTAAAGGTCAAAACCAGCACCTTGAAGTGAATCCTGAACGCTATTGGAAGCCAGTGCAATGACTTCAGCACAGGCTGGATGTGCTCCCACCTGGGGAGGCCCATCAGCAACCTGGCTGCCGCATTTTGCACCAGCTGCAGCTTCCGGAGTTGCCCCAAGGGCAGCCCCATGTAGAGAGCATTGCAGTAGTCTAACCTCGAGGTGACCATAGCATGGATCACTGAAGCCAGATCATTGCATTCGAGGAAGGAAACCAACTGCCTAATCAGCTGAAGATGGTAGAACGCTGCCTTGGCAGTGGCTGCTACCTGGGCCTCCATTGTCAGGGAAGCATCCAGGAGCACTCCCAAACTCATGACCCTCGGCGCTGGCACCAATGCTGCCCCACCAAAGGCCGGAAGTGGGGCCCCTAACCCCGGGCCGCTCCGATTTAGGCAAAGGACTTCCGTCTTCATCGGATTCAATTTCAGCCGACTCAGCCGAAGCCATCCCACCACGTCCTGCAACGCCTGGTCCAGATTTTCCGGGGTAGAGCCAGACTGACCACCCAACAACAGATAGAGCTGGGTGTCATCTGCATATTGATGACACGCAAGCCCGTGCCTCTGGGCAATCTGGGCAAGGGGGCGCATATAGATGTTAAATAACATTGGGGAGAGCACTGCCCCTTGGGGCACTCCACAGACTAGTGGGTGCCTTTGGGACTGCTTCTCCCCAAGTGCCACCCTTTCTCCCTGACCCTGGAGAAAGGAGACAAGCCATTGCAAGGCCAGCCCCCGAATCCCCACGTTGGCGAGGCGGTGGGCAAGCAGCTGATGATCGCCCATGTCAAATGCTGCCGACAGATCTAACAACAGCAGCTCCACCATCCCGCCCCGATCCAGATGCCTCCGGAGGTCATCTGTGAGGGTGACCAGTGCTGTCTCCGTCCTGTAACCCGGGCGGAAGCCGGACTGGAAGGGATCCAGCGTGGAAGTGTCATCCAGAAAGCTCTGCAACTGTATCACCACCACCCTCTCTATTAATTTGCCCAGACAGGGCAAATTGGAAACCGGCTGGTAGTTGGCCAATTTGGCCGGATCCAGGGATGGCTTTTTTAAGAGAGGGCGGACCATCGCTTCCTTGAGAGCCCCTGGGAATAGGCCCTCAAAGAGGAACCTGTTGATAATATCCCTAAGGGTGCCTCGAAACCCCTCGCGGCCAGCTTTAATTAGCAAGGAGGGGCACGGATCAAGGCTGCATGTGGCTGGGCGTACTGTTGTGATCAGTTTGTCAACTTCCTATAGGCTGAGAGGCCTGAAATAATCCAGAATGGGACCAGAAGACGTGCATGGGGCCTCGAGTTCACATACTGTCTCAAGTGTAGCCGAGTTCACATACTGTCTCAAGTGTGGCTTTGTCTTTGTCTGCAAAATGGCTCGCAAAAGCCTCACAGCCTATATCCCTAACATTTTGTCTGCTCTGTGGCAGGGTGGTTAAAGACCGAATCATTCTATACAATTGTGCTGGGCGCAAGTTTGCAGATGCAATCTTGGCTGCGTAGAACTCCCTCTTTGCAGCCTAGGTTGCCATCTCATATGATTTCATAAACGTTCGATAGGATGCTCTTGACGCTTCATCATGAACCCTCCGCCACTGTCTCTCTAGTTGTCTGAGCCCTCGCTTCATCAGCCTCAGCTCCTGGGTATACCAAGAAGCCAGCCTTGAGCGAGGGCGTAGAGGGCATTCTGGGAGCGATCTCGTCAATGGCCGCCGAGAGTCGGCTATGCCAGTCCTCGACAAGTTCATCTAACGAGCCGCCAGGGGGCAATGGATCCCGGAGAGCCATCTGAAGCTGCAGTGGGTCCATTTGGCTCTGTAGACAAGCCGAAATCCGCTCTCTGCCCAAACAGGGTTGGGGTAACAAGTTCACTCGAGCCCCCAGAGCATGGTGGTCTGACCATGGAACTGCCATAGCAGTAATCCAGTCCACTGTAACCCCTGCCGCAAAGATCAAATCAAGCGTGTGACCAGCCTGGTGAGTGGGGGGCGTTACATATTGGGAGAGTCCCAGCGCCGCCATGGATGATGCCAGGTCCACCGCCCGGGAGGAGGCAGCATCGTCGGCATGGACGTTGAAGTCACCCAGGACTAACAGCCTAGGGTGTTCCAACGCCCAGCCCGATACGACCTCCACCAGAGATGGCAGGCTGTCAGCCATGGCGCTGGGCAGACGGTACACTAGCCAAACAGCCAAACTCTCCCCAGCTTCCCACACAAAGCTGGCACACACAATACATGCGATCCTCACCACTGGGAGCGCCCTGAAGGAGTAAGCCTCCCAAATGAACAGAGCCACTCCCCCCCTGCCCCGAAGTCCGAGACTGGTGAAGGACCAAGAACCCAGGAGGAGCCAACTGGGAGAGAGCAACCGTCTCCCCGTCTCGTACCCACGTCTCGGTCACGCATGCCAGGTCCGCATCCTGCTCCAGCAAGAAGTCCTGCAGGACAGAGGTTTTATTATTTATGGACCTGGCATTGCACAACACCAATGTCGGAGCGGGTTTTTTTATCCTTGCCCCACTGTCTGCCACCTTTGGGATGGGACACAGGCTGGAAGGTGGCTGAGCTTCTCCATTTCTCTGCCCCCTTCCCTTCCATCTCCACCTGCTCCCACCGCTATACCTTCCCCTACCCAAGAACACTGGAATTCCCTGCCCAGCCATTACTACCCTGGTGGTCTTCATCGGCTGCACTCGGCTCGAACCACAGATTCACTCATTTAGTTGGCTGATATTCCAGTTTACTATGTGCTGCTACTATTTGATGGAAACAACCCATTTATAATTAACTGCTGACTATTCCTAATCTAGTACAATAGGGTCTATTCTAATCCCACTCTAGCAGCCTAACATTAATCGTATAACTTCTGATTGTCTCTTTTTCTATTTTTCTAATTTTGTTATATCTAATCCTACTTTCCCAGCCAGTGAGCTACATAAAGGCTGGGGATTAATGGCATATTTACTAAAGCTAATATTTTATCATGGAATAGGGCTGTTAGTACCATTAGATATTAATTGTCTCTCCTTACACAGAACCCTAAATTGTAATAATTGATGCCAACCCCTAAGTAAATCCAACCCCCAATTAATTGGACAGCTTAAACAATGCTCAATTGGAACCCTAGCTAGAACCCCCCCAATTAACTGGTACAATAACAATTAATTAGCAACAGCTAAATCCGACCCCCAATTAATTGGACAATTTTAACAATCAATTAACACCCTCTCTAAATCAGCCCCCCCCAATTAATTGGCAAAACAGCAATTAACAACTAATCGACCCCCCCCCCAATCAACTAAATCACACCAAGTTCATCAATTTAAGCAGCAAGTTACGGCAGTTATTTATATAAATTGTAGCAGCCAATCAGTCCGGGTAAAAGCCCTTCTTAGTTTTGGTTTTTGGACTGTCAATTGATAAACATATTTCAGCAGTTGCATCGGAAGGGCAATTCCCAAATGGAATGTCAAGCATATCCTTT